GTGAATAATTGGCGCTGGGCAGCCAGCTCTTTTTCCTGTGTAACGTACTTCTCCATACTGCTCACATATGCATTTACCATGCCAAGCTCAGTTAATAGCTATGCAATTTTATTGTCTTCAGGGGAATTATTCAAGCCAATATCGATTTACACAGATATAACAGGTGAAGTATGTGGTCCTTCAGTTGCTTGGTTGACCAGATACAAATAAGGGAGAAACACCGCTGTGATTCTTTATGCTACTGAGTATCTCAGACAGATTGTCATATAGATAACATTTTAAGTATATTTTTCCACTGGCTATGTGAGAACAGCCTTCTCACCCTGAGGAAAATGATACAAAAGCTAAAATTCTGGATAAAGACAAATGTACGGCGAGAGTTTCATGGCAGTTATAAAGCTGCCACACTTTAAACCAAGAACAATGAAATAATAATTGGAACAGCTGGTAATCCTCGGAGAGAGTGCATCCATTCAAAATACAGCTGTGAAATATATTTATAAGACGTTTCTTGTATGATAAATGTGCCTTAATTTTTTTCTTAACAAAAACCAGCAAAATTCAGGGGAATAGATATCTCCAAGCACTGTGGAATAATTCAGTGCCATGGGGCACCTTAAATTCTTGAACGATTGGTTTCATAAACAAGGTAAGCTATGGAGATCCTTCCACTGTTCAGATGGACCCCAAAGGCTCTATTATTTTTCTCATAGCATTCAAGAGTATTGATTGCAGAAGCTGTGTGGAGGAAAAAAAAAAAAGCTGACTTGCCTGTGACCCTTAACACCAAAGTTTTAGCAACTCTTAACTGATCTACATTCATTCCTTCAGGAGAATGCACAACTACGTGGCTAGAGTTTGCAGCAGCAGAAGTATGCCTCGCACTCCAAAATTTCCAGTGAATGAGCTGAATATTGTCACTATTTGACTTCCAAAGAAACAGAAAGGAGAAATTTCGAAAGTTCTATGCATCCAGGAAATGTACTATTTTATCAGAGTATTTCCTGCAAGTAAAAAACTGCAGGTATAGGCTGTCTTCCTACTTCTTTGTGTTGAGTTGGGATAAAGCAGATTTAGACGTATTGACAAGCATCTCCATTTATGTTTATTACGGAGCCGATGGGTCACAAAGAGGAGGGCTTTCATCAGATTCTTGGCAAAGACCATTACTAATGAAAAATTTGCAGCGATGGTTGGTGGTGAACTTAACGCACTTTGGAAGTACTGCTGTAGCAGAGGCACCTCTAAGCAAAACCTGTGCAAAATGTCACCCTGGGAGGAATTCGGTTAAAGAAAGCAACGTTATTATAGATGTCCAGACAAGTATTAATTCCAGTATCGCTGCCAGTGCTGATGCTAGTAATTCTAACACTAAAGCTATTACCAGTTACTTGGGAGACTGCTAAGAATGGAGATAGATGGATTTCCTGGCCTGAGAGGTAGGTTCTTAATAGCTCAGAGGCCATAAATGATATGCTGAATATTCAAAGAGGTATCGAGATGGATTCATGTGCAATATAAGTACTCGCCAATAAAACATCACCGATCCAACACTCCAGGTCACTTGACAAGCTTTAAAAGCACGTGTAGAAATATAGATGTACCTGTTACCCTCAAGATGAATTGTGATAATCCCGCTGGCAACATAAACACCACAAGAAAGAATGAACGTCCCCACAAATCCTGCGTGGCGACTCAGGCTGCTTCACTTTACCTAACAGCTATGTCCTTTCAGTCAAGGGAAAATAGATGACTCCTGCAATCTAACAAACTCCAGCTATCAGGGTGACAAACCTCTCCTGCTCTTTCTTCTGAGAGGCGCCGCTGCTTTCAGTAGTAATAATTCAACTCTCTGTGTAAAGATGGTTTTGAAGGCATTTCTGTTTTGTTTTCTATGTGCTTATTTTTGGTTCTTTAATAGCATACATAGAAATCATCTATTCTTACAGCAGGCATGTTTGCCTTTCAAAGCTGGCTACCTCAAACAGTGGCTGCTGATTGCTGGCTTCCCAGATGGACTTGGTATAATCTGACACACGTCTCTTGGCATCTGTGGTCACAGCATGTCCTATTGCTGGCAGTAAGATGCACTGAAAAATAGCTGAGTGTTGGCACAACAAATGAAGAACTGCAGTGCTTTTCACACTGATTCTCCTCAGGCAATGCTGTGAGCTAAAGGGAATGGAAAGCAGAGAGGGGGACTCGTATTCATGGTACAATTATTTTTAATAATGTCCTGCAAGGCGATATAAGAAAGAAAACTGAAGCTGTGAGGCCAAACTTCCAAGGCTATGTAGATACACAAAGATACAAATGTGGTGCCTAGTGAGATTTTTCTTAAGTGTCCATGTCTATGTGTACCATGCTATGGCTGAAATTCTGGCACGCATTCTGCCTTAAAAGTTTTTTTATCTCGATTGGCCTGAGAATTGCAACTGCTTTAATTTGCAGTGAAGTGCAACTTTTGGTGAAATTGCAGCTTAAGAAAATATATCTTATTAATGTGCTAAAGGAGAGGAAAGGATGGATGACGATTAGCTACATGGACAAGTTGTATTTCAGCCCAGACACTAAACGCTTCCGACAGTAGGTAGTCCAACATGGCAGGATTTGAGGCACATATATGCCTTTAGAGCCAAACAGCCTTTCTTGTGACCCTCTCCTACTTGCTATCATAAAATCCTTGCCCAGTAAAGAAAAGTCTCTCTCACAATGCCAAAACCAACTTCCACTTGTCTATTATAATTAATAACAGGATTGCTGCTATTAGTGATGATAACTTCAGCTGCTGGCAACATGGGAAAAGATAATTAGTAGTAATTTCCTTTAACTAGAGGCCGCTCTAGAAGCGAGACGGGGGACAAGCCTCTCCCTTGTCCCCCTGTAGGGCTACAGACTTGTGCTTCTGCACGTGCATGAGTTGTCCGAAGGAACTTAAAGGCGGCAGAGATTTTGGGAGATGGAGAGCCAGGGCAGAGTGCATGAGAGGCAAACCTAAACAGATTGAAGCGGCCAACGTGACCCCGCTATTTGCCAGATACTGTACAGCATTAATGCTGCTGAGCCTGAAGACACATCATTTAGCAAGCTGTTGGCCTGAAAATAAAAAGCATGAAAATAGTTGCTATTTTCAGCTTGCAGTGCCAATATTGTTGCAAGTCACAGGAAAAAAAGACTGGGCTGCCTTGTGTTCTTATAAGCTGTAAGGTAGCTGAAGTGGAGTTGTGGGCTTATGCAGGTACAAATGGGAAGAGAATGTATATCTGACTGACTGTGGGCTTCTCTTAGACACCTACTTATTTTACATGCAGTAGGAAAAATAAACAGATGTCGAAGTAAATAGAAGAGATGCAAAGCGGAAAGTCTCAGAGGATGCTCAAAGCAATATTCAAACATGATATGGAGGAATTACTTAGCAAGAAAACCCACTGCCAAGGCTTAAATAAATTTCAGTAGGAGATCCTAGAAATGATAACGAATTCTCAAACAAATAACTGCACCAAAGGAGCCTTCAGCTTTCCAGTCCTCAGGGCGGACACCAACAGGTAGTCCTCTTCCCCCTTCCAGCCGAAAGAGAAACCAACACTTTCTAGCCTAAATAATCAGTCTTGTGATAAGGGAGCACTTTTGCTTCAGATAGCAGCAGCTTTCTCCCTCCTTGCCTTCCCTTTGCTGCGACCAGCACTGACGGGTCTTGCTGTCACCTTGCAGGGTCTCCTTACAGGGACAAGATCACCATCGCCATCCTCCAGCTCCAGGAGGAGGGAAAGCTGCACATGATGAAGGAAAAGTGGTGGCGAGGCAACGGCTGCCCTGAGGAGGACAGCAAAGAAGCCAGTGCTCTTGGGGTGGAAAATATTGGAGGCATCTTCATAGTGCTCGCTGCAGGGCTGGTTCTTTCGGTGTTTGTAGCCATTGGTGAATTTATATATAAATCAAGGAAAAACAGCGATATTGAGCAGGTGAGTCATCCATTTCCACCTTGCTTATGTTTCTGGGAGGCTGAGGTTTGTGAATGTGGAGCTGACTGCATTATAATTCTCTGCTGGAGTGCAGATTTTGTATTGCTGAACTCTCACCATGCGTTTCTGGCACTAAAGACAAATAATTTATTAATAAGAACAGGGAAGTACCTCACCCACACTCCAATTAGTGCTGTTTAGTATGGCAGTGGAGAACAAGAGCAATTAATTTCTCAAACAGTTTCTGCTTGATCTTTAAGACTTCAAGCATAAATTACGTTGGAAAGGAATAAAACACAACTGGATTTTTTTTTTTATAGAGCATTAGCACCAACCCTTTGAGTAACAACAAGAACGTACGTCCAAATCCCCAAGTGTAATTTTTCTCTAGCTCTAGAAAGCATTTTTTTCACAGCCAGGAATTTACAGACTGTGCTGAAGCATGCATTTCAAAGCAGGGAGACCTACTGAAAGGTGATGGATGCCACAGTAAAGTAAGATTATGGAGCCAAAGAAATTCTGGTTATAGCTCCACTGAAGCGTAATGAGCAATTTAAAAGGGCAGAGGGAAAACAAAGGAAATGCTGTGTATAAATCATGCCTTGAGTATTACAGTAGTTCATGAGATAGAATCAATCATTAAAATAGAGTGTAAACACCCATTTACTGAACCACCAGCCACTGTAAAAGAAACAAGGCGTGAGCAGCAACTCAGAGTCTATTTGTGAAGTTGTCTGCCAACCATTTTACTCTGGTTGCCTTCCCTGGTGCTGGTTTGGTTTTGGCCATCTGCTAGACCCTGATGTGGCCTTGTTTGGCTCAACTGCTAAAGCTGCTCTGATCCTCTTCGCTTCAACAGGATTTACCATAGGGACGAGGGTCACATTGCACTGCAAAATCAGTGACCCTTGAGGCAATCACTAAGAGGTGGGTTCGTATCACCTAACTTCAGGTTTCTAGACATGACGCATCTCCTTCTGAGGAAGTTGTTTAAGTTCACTTTGTGCTTTTTGATGGGAAAGGCAGGAGCTTTTCTGTGGGCGATTCATCCTCTTCATCCAAGGTGTAATCCTGCAAGACGGATTACATAAGTGCCAGAAATGGCTGCTGAGAAAAATAACCTTCACGAAGGCAGCAGGGATGAGTAGGAGGAGAAGGAGAACATTTTTAACTGGGTCTCAGAGGTGCAGTTTGCACTGCATACAGCAGTGGTGCTGGGACATGAGAGGGATTGACACCTGAGTAAAAACAAGCGGCCAGGACTGAGGGCCTCGAGAGGACAACATCTGCTTTTGGATAGGATAAACCACCTGTACCTCCTTGCTGCCAATTAAGGGATCCCCATAAGCTCAGGCTACATGCCTGCTCTTCAGAGAGCTGAAAGGAAGTGAGCTGAATCCTACCATGTATCTTCATTTTCCAGATAGCACTTGGGGTAATTTTGGGTCCATGACATCTAATGTTAATGTCAGTGGACTTGGTCCTCACAGTATCCTGCAGAAGAGGGCAGCTCCTGACTGTGCAGACATCTCCACATGTGGCCTGAGCAAGCCCTCATTCAAGGCAACAGCACTGTCTACGAACAACAGACGCAGCTCATGTGGACCAATTTCACAGGCCATATTAATCAAAATGTCCCTGTTTTGGAATAAGCCAGAGATAAAGGATGAATGTATTTTGCACATATTGCAGCTTTCTCATTAGTACTTTAACCCTATAGAACAGTTTTAGCACAAAATGCATAAAGAACGTATTGGTATCTTTGTTTCATTCATGTCTCAAGAGATCTTTCATTCAAATATGTTTTGGAGAACAGTTGCAGCTAATTAAAGTGTTTAGTATAAATGCTGATGTGGTGCAGAATATCCTGGAAACGCTTTAGGAGTCTAGGAAAGGCAATGCATTCCTGAAGCCATAATTAAAGTAGACCTAAAGCTTTACATCATGAGGGAAAGTTAATTTACTTAGCAGTATGCTGGGTGAATAACTCAGTATTCAGGGATACATATATACATATACCATTTCGGAAACTGTACTACTGTTTCACAGCGATGTGTTCCTTATTATAGGCAGTCTCTTAATAATTAAAATCTTTACGTGAGTTAATGTGGTAACATCATACTTCATTTCCAGAGGTAGTTTTGCAGAAAGTAGAACACCAGCAATTCCAGTGTTACTGTCTGATTTCTCTCGCTTTGTTTCATTTTTATTCTGGTGAAACAAGAAGCTTAGGTGGAAAATGCCGTATGGTGTATATTATCACTAAGCTTATCCAAAGTACGAGTCGGATAGAATCTATGACTTTTCTGTTTCCATAAATAGAATCTCTTTTTATTTAAACAGCTTTTGAATCTCATTCTTATGTTTGTTTTTAATTCTACTTCTTCCATTTATTTATTTTCTCCATTTTTCTTTTCTTGCATGCAAGGCCTTTTGTTTCTTTTACGGACTACAGTGTAAGCAAACCCATCCGTCCAACTCCACCTCTGGCACCACCTTATCTACGGAGTTAGACTGTGGCAAGTTAATCCGAGAGGAGCGAGGGATTCGAACACAGCCCTCAATTCACACTGTATAGTCAGGAAAGAAAAAAGGTGTGTCCAATGGAAAGCATTAAACTTAAACAGTGCACATAATGGCAAAGGTTGTACTCACCAGCGCCTAGTGAATGACTTCAAACTGCCTCTTGCTTCAGCAAGAGATAAGCTTATCTAACACAAGTTGTCAAAGTCTTTGAAATTTGGGCAGTTTAAATGCATATCACAGAAAATAATTACACCTACAGCGAAAAGTGAGTGCAATAGACTGTAGTAAATTTTGAGAATTATCATAGTCCCCAAGTACAATTGTCATCTTGTCATTTCATGGGGTAATTCACCTTTTTCAGGTAAGAAAAATTATTTACGTCCTTTTCATCTTCTACCAAACCTGAGTAAACCAGTGGAAGTTGCATTACTAAAAGCATGGAGAAGTATTTTGCTTGGTCTCTGCCGAAGCATTCGGCAAGTGGGCCAGGCAGTTCTTTATAAACCTCAGAAAACAACCTGCAGGGCTCCATTAACTTTCTAAACCCCTATTATAAGCAGCCAGAGATTTTTAGCTGGCATGTCTTATTCCCAGTGTCAATATTTAATGAATTTTAATTCATCCATTTCAAATTCATTGGCCCAAGCCTCTAAATAACTATCATAGCACAAAATCATATCTACCAGTTAAATTTTATGCCGTATAACCATTAACATTTAAGGACATGTTTGACAAAAGCACCCTCAGCCACCCCCGGTCTATGCCTTTTACAGAACAACTCCGTTGACTTGGCTTGAGCAATTCATGATGTTCACTCTTGTAAGGCTTTGTAACATAGAAAACTCCTTTATGGCAAAATCAGGATATCAAATTATACCAAACAGTAAAGCCGTGGCATTGCTTTGCATATTGAAAAGCAAAAGGAAACTTTTGTGTAGGAGGTTGGTACTGGATGCTTTTTATACCCTGGAAGGATAACAGTTTGGTGTCTTCTAGTCCTCAGGTAGTCTGGGGACTGACAGGGCGGGAGACAGTGGACTGGATCTGTCATTGCCACCAAAAACCACATGAAAACAATTTGAGATACCCAAAATGTATAGAAATGCCAGCTCATAGGATGTCAGGAACTGTGGCAACCCACCATATTTTCAAAACTTGATTACCTTTTATCTGTATTTCATTATATCCCAGCTTACCGCTAGCTTCACCAATTCATTTCCTGCCCCTCACCTACTTTGTTTTCTTGCCCTCTGCAGTTCCTGCTCATCAAACAAGTCAATGATCTGTTTTATTGAGGGGCCATTTCTGGACTCTACTGCAATTAGAAAACTTGTTCGAGTGGATGCCTTCATGCTCAATTGCTGAAGCGCGGCGGTGAAGCTCTGCTCGCCTCTTGAATTGTTTCTCTCATACCTGGCTCCTGAGAAAAGCCAGAGCATAGAGTGACCTGCATTTTCCTTCTATTCATGCTACAATTTTCAGTCAGCATTATTTATGCTGGCAGTAGGCTTAAGTACTTTTTGTGACAAAGATGTACTGCTCATAGCTAGGCTATACCAATTCTTCTTTGCCCATGCTCATCCGTGTTTATGCTCCACTCCAGATGCTGCAAGAAATTGTCCTGCTCAAAATGGCATTTTAACTTGTTCCAATAGCTGCTTGAAAGCTTTGGTTCTTCATAAAATCAGCCTTCTTACCAGCAAAGACCTGAATTAGATCTCTTGTATCCCTGGTTTAAGAAAGCACTTTCTTTTTGTAGTTTCCCAGTAGAAAAGTCTTAGAACTAATTAAATTCAGCTTATCTCAACTCTCAGAGGGGAAGAAAATTTCCCAATGTGTTTATTTCCATCATTGCTCTACGCAAGAAATCCTCTGAGTTGCAGCTTCGACCAGTTTTCTAATTGCTGTTTAGATGAACGCAGAATCCAGAAAGTTTCTGTCACTTTTTTTGGTAAACATTTTCATATCTGTCAAGGAAACAGCCACATTGTTAGTAACAGTCATCATTTCCCTGTGTCTAGCTGTCCCCACAGACAACCCCACAGGCTTCGGCTTGTCTGCAGGGAATTACAAAGCAGCTCCTCTTTTCCCTAATGGAGCTTCGTATCTAGATACAAAAAAGAGTTATGAAAAAGCCTTACTTGCTCCTTAGCAGCTACACCAGCAGCTGAGGCACTGAGGAGCCAGCATGCCCACCTGAGTGGTAATAAATCTACGCCTGTGAAGGCAGTTTTTGCAAGGTTTGCCGTGGCTCCAGGAAAAGGCAGATGCCTTCAGGTTAACAGCAAGGCTCGAGGAAGGCACAGTCCGTAGCATGTCCCGTGAAGTGCATGGCACCTGGGAGGACTCCTGCGTAGACATAACAAGCTTCAAGAAAAAGCGTTAAAGCATTCAAAGATTTTTGCTTATCCCCACTCTAAGCTTCAATGGCCACTATACTTTGAAATTTGGCCAGAAAAATATACTCTGTTCAC